CACCTTTCTTGTATTCGTGTTTTGGTGGTGTTTTGGACCATGTATTTCAGAGAAAAGCCATGCCTTTTTCATATCACATTTTTATAGTACGATTTTCGATGGGACAAAGATATATTTTGCCGTTACAATTGACTGCGCTATTTACATAAAGTAGGCTCTCGAGGCTATCTGTAAATCTAAAATACTAGGTTGAAATTGCAGTTCATCTTGGACGAGATTACCCGTTGGGAAGCAAGGAGATTTGCAATTCTATTTGATTGTGAGATCTCCTTATCTGAATGTGGGAAAAGGCGAACATCAGTTCTTCATCCCTCATACTTGTCATTCCAGATCTATTGACATTTCAAAAGCTACTCAATACAAGTATAAGTAATGTGATCAATTTACTGTAAACCTGAGAACTATTCATATGTTTATGGTAAAAACTGAACTAATACTCTTTGATCACATTATGCGGCCCAGGTTTTATCAATAAAAGTTATTTGCGTTTTTCGGATATAATAGCTGTATTCATCCGATTTCATATAAGGTGATGAAGGACTTGCACTTCTGCGTCGAGTCTCTACGCTGCACTACCACGATCCGGGTTCGAGTCTCGCTGATGGCGCTGATGAGACCTCTGCGAGGTCGAAACTGCAGTTCACCCTAAACGATACTCCTTTTTGGGGACGTGAAATCTAAATTATCATGAGGCCTATTCAACTGCCAGTCATATATGACTCCAAACGTTATAGTGTAGATACAGCCCTTATTTTAGTAAATTCACAGTAAAGCTGGGTCTAAGTATCACCTTGAGGGTACAGATGGTGGGATTTTTAATGAGCCCCACATTCAAGTAAATTAAAGCCGACTTGTAGGAAAATGTAACTGCATCATAATGCCTAGGCATAACCGTGCGGGAAATTGAACTATTAGAACTTCAACATTTCAGCAATTTTGGCTTGTTGAAGAGCCTTTCTACTGTCGTCTAGAGGATGGGAGAAGATTTCCGAGAAGTAGCGCTGACCTGGTGAGTAGGGAGGAAGAGTGCTCCTCCGCCAGTAGGCCGGAGCTCAAGAGACTGTTGCCAGTGCCGATGTTGGTCGTCATTTGTGGATGCAATTGCTGAGGATAGTGATGCTGGGCTTGCGGTTGCGTCGGCAATACAGCCGGTCCGTTCGGGGCAGAAGAGGCCGTGGAATTGGAGGCCGCGACTACGGCGGCGGCCGTGGCAACTGCGGCAGCGGCGGCCGTGAAGTTACTGGCCATCGTGTGATGGTGAAGATGACCCGACGACGACTGAAGTTGTTGCTGAGTCGTGTTGGTGGAGGTGGTGGTCAAATGTGATTGTGCCTCGTTGGACAGATGATGCGTGTGCAACAGCGGTGCCAACTGTTGACCGGTCATGCTGTAGCCGGGTCCGCTGGTCGGCAACTGATGCATCGAGGGCGGCAGAAGCGACGAAGGATGCGTGAATCCCTCCGACGGGTAGGCGAGCAGTTGGAATTGGCCAGTCTGACCGGCCGACGGCGGCAGCCCACGAGTTGCCGGGGCCTGTAGATGCGAGTGAGCCGGATGTGTCGGCGACGAATAGGGCGAGAGAAGGGGCGGACTGGCCGGCCGAGTCCCGCTGGCGGTACCACCTTCACCGCCGCTCAGCATCGGTCCGTTCGGCGCCGCCTGCGTCAGCTCTTGTTGCTCCTGTCCGCCCGGTCTGTCCTGTTGCGGACGATGTGATGGCCGATGTTGGCCCGACTTGGCCGGATGCAACATCAAATGCGACGGTATCTGTCGCTGATGTTGTTGTTGTTGTTGTTGTTGTTGTTGTTGTTGT